TGGAATCTGACATACTAGAGTTTAGTTCCATTTAATTATTGCTGTTGTTATTAGATCCACTGTAAACTGAGTGACCTAATGGTGGTTAATAGACCTCTTTGATCCTCAGTTATCTGGTCTACAAAATATATATATCAGGGCCTACGTTATATATGTGTTGCTGTTGAGAATTAAATGAGATCATGGTTAGTAAAATGCTTTGCCACTGCCAGGACCCCAAAAGGCACTCAAAAATGGCTCTCATTATAGTGACTAATTATTCTTTCAGACAGTAAGATTTTACATATCTTCATTTCAACATTAGTCTTCACAAATTCAGATGTGTTCTGAGTTTGGTTAACCATAAAACCAACCATGACACAACTCCATGAAGACTGGAGAAAAGTCCTAATGTCCATTTCTAGGATATTTTCCTAATGACAGTGTCCTGACAATTCCATTTATTTCCACCAAGAGCAGAGACCCAGGAATGCTGAAGCAGAAATGACTATCAGGACTGAAATACTAGGGACTCTGTCAGGTAAATAATGAGCTAAATGCATAATCCCCAAATATAACCACTACTTCTCCTGCACATTGAAAACTGATTATTTTCTTGCAAGAGAATATTTTCAGTTTGGGGAAATGAAAAAGAAGTTTGTAGTCAGACAGATGTGAGTTTCAGGCCTGACTGTATGACCTACCAATTTCTACAGTTTGTGGTCTTAAAAAAATGAGAATAATAATGACAAATGGCAATTAGACAAACCTGAAAGATGACTGAGTAACTTAAAGACTTTTTTGCACAGGACCGAGCAATACAAGGCCATGTGGCGTCCCTGGTGGCTCAGATGGAAAAGCGTCTGCCTGCAGTGTGGGAGACCTGGTTTGGGAAGATCCCCTGGAGAAGGAAATGGCAACCCGCTCCATTGTTCTTGCCTGGGAAATCCCATGGATGGAGGAGCCTGGCGGGCTACAGTCCACAGGGTTGCAAAGAGTCGGACACAACTGAACAACTTCACTTTCACTTTTTAAGCAATACATCAGGGATTCTCCATAAACAAAACAAACAGCAGTTTATTCTCTTGTAAATAATTTGAAAGGGGCTAACTGGATTTAAAAAGAAAGACAAAGAGGCCATATGGGGAGGAAGAGCTGGACCAGAAGACAGACCGACTGCCTATCTGGGGAAGATCATCTACCATCCTCAGGTTCCACATCTATGGAGTGGGACAGTGCTTTTCATCCTGCTTGTCCCAAAGGGTTGGCATAAAAGAGGAAGACACACTGCTGGCTGTGAAAGGACTTTTCAAACTATATGTACTGAATTTTTGCTCTCAGTAGTGGTGCGGTGGACAAGCCTACAGCTAAGAACAATGAAAACAAGCTAAATAAAATATAAAGTATACTTGAAGACACCAGAGCTACCAAGGAAGTGAAGGCTTTAGGAGCCAAGCTCTAGAAGAGAAGAAAAACACAGAAAACCAACCTGATATCTGATGCTTATGCTTTTTCTTTAAAGGAATTAAAAATCAGCAGCTGACAGGCCACCTTACACAGTAAAGGGAACAGAAGCTGGCATTTAGGATCTGCCAAGGAAGGGGATCCTTGGCAAAATCCCCTGGCTTCAACTGGGACCCTTAAAGGGCAAACCTATGAGTAAGAGTTGACAAGAAATAGATTTGCTTTCAGGAAACCCAGCTTTGAATCAGTCCAATGCCTGATTAGATTAAAGTGATCTGTTCTTTACCTTAACTGCCTACTGAAGCAAAATAAAATTTGCTTTTTTGAGGCAACAGCATTTAAAGCCTCAAATTCTAAAACCTTTTATACATAATGTTTGGCATGTGAACAAGCATAGCCTGGCAAGCAAAAACACAAGGAGAAAGCAGAAAAGAGACAAATTTAAAAATTCACAAGATATTCTGATACTAGAGTTAAACAAAAATCAGGAAAAGAAAACAAAAAAAACTAAAAAATTTTAATTAGAAGACCAGAAGGATACTGCTGAATTAGTTGCCTTATAATACAATCATTTTCTGGGGAAAAAAATGGAAATTTACTCTTAAGCAATCTCATACCTTATCCACTTGAAAAGTTCAATAAACTTATAAGAATTGTAACTAGATTGAGAAAGATGGAAAAGAAAATGTTCTGGAGATTTCTTTATTTCATGATATTGTAATTTTGTGCAGATTTTTGGGGGGAATTTCCTTGAGCACAAAATATCACTGATTTTATTCCAAAACCTGTAATCCATTGTCCCATGCAATTTACTATTCATATGCTACATGAAACAGCAGATTTCACTTGTACTCATCGGTTTAGGTTTTTAACAGCAACATAGATCTTTTGCTAATAAAATACAATCATATACCATTTGACTACAATGGGCTAATATAATTATCTCTTCATCAGTTGCTCCATTAGTTCATTCATTAGATATTATTAGAATCATCCTTAGACCAGGAATGAATTTATGTTATTACAATTAAATAAATTTGGATTTTGACCTAAGTACAGGAAAAAGAGACCATAGTATGATTTTGATCTCTCAAGAAAGAAAGCAATAAGTGGATGATAATGCAGGATATATTTTCAGTTTGACCCAAATTTAAAGATAACTGTAGGATTAAGTAATTCAATGGAGAAACCACATTCATCTCAGATACGGCAACAGACATGTGGACAACTTTTGGTGGGGGGTGGGGAAAGTCTATCATCTAAGACCACTAAGAGTTTATAGAGTAGTTGGTTGAGTACTTTACTGGCTGTCTGCCATTCTTTAGATGTCCTCTGCTAAATCTGAATATTTCATTCATTTATCATTATAAATGAAATTTATTGACATTTAGTTTTTCATTCTTATCTATAGCTGAATTAATTCTATTCAATCAAAATCAACTAGACTACAAGATAAGAGACCCAGAAAGGCTGGGGAGAAGGGGAAGAGAGATCCCTATTTCCAAAATGACTGAAACAAACAGAGTAAGAAGGTACATAGCAAATACTATTTACTTAATTGTGAAAATTCCAGTCCTGGAATTATTTACAAAGAACAGGAGGTTTCTCTCTGGTAGACCACAATTATCAAGGAAATATGTCAGTCTTCCTTAGGGAGACCTCACGGCTCCAGAGCCAGCAGGATCTAACTGTAATTTGACTCTATTAATGTACCTGAAGAAGGAATATGTCCATGAAAGAGTGAGCTAACGAAGCACTGAAAAAGGACAACTATGGACAAATTTAGGCAACATTCAAATGAACTAGTCCAGAAGAGTCTTGACTAAGCACAAGGGAACACGATGATTTTAAGACAAAGCTGTCTTAGCATCCAGCTTCCTTAGCATCACACAAAAGCTTCAGATTTGTTCTGAGGTTCAGAGAAGTTAAGCAAACCACTCTGAGTCAGGATTTACAACATGAGTCCAAATGATTATAAACCAAATCCCACAAGAAGTGTATGTAGAGGCTACCTATGCTTACGTATCTCAGGTGATTCATTTATCTGTAAAGAATGAACACAGTCTCAATGCTATAATTTAAAAAATCTGGTTATTCACATAACCTGTTCTAAGGAAACTTTAATATGCATCTGAACAAAACTATGTATCTGTTGAAGATATATATGTGGCTCCAATCAAGGCCATTTTGCTCCTTCCAATCTGAAGGTCAAAATCTGCACTGTGTAACATTAAAAGCAGACAGACCTTTGAAAATGGAGCTTCCCAGGTGGTTCAGTGGTAAAGAACCTGCCTGCCAATGCAGGAGACATGGTTCGATCCCTGCATCAGGAAGATCCCTGGAGAAGGAAAGGGAAAACCACTCCAGTATTCTTGCCCGGAGAATCCCAAGGACAGAGTAGCCTAGTGGGCTACAGTCCATGGGGTCACAAAGAGTTGGACAGGACTTAGTGACTAAACAACAACAGTGAAAAGTTTGAAGACTTCTGCAAGCTCTTGAAGAGGCAGCAAATTTAACCGGGTGGAGCTGGGGAGGGGGGAATGGGGGCATGCCTTTCTCCAGCACATTCTAAACCTGCTTCCCTCAGACATATTTCTTCTCAGAGGCCACTCACTGCAGCAGTTGTTCACTACTCATCCATGCAGTGACTATTTACTGAGAATTTACTGCGCTCCAGGCGTTCAGGCTACATCAGTGGTCCTTACCCTCTCTTCTGCCTTCGGTCCACTTATCTCTTCACCCATTCTTCAACCAATAAGATGTTTACATCACAGAAACTGCAGTTTCTTAACATTTCTAATATAAGCCTACTCAGTTTCTTTGTCTTCTTCCAGATTCATTTTTGTTTAATTACCCTGATCAGCACAGCAAAGAGCTTCCAAGATCACATCAGGGCAAACAGGGAATTCTGAGATGAGGAGGGTGGGAGAGCTACGGAAACTTAAAGCATGCACAAACTTAAAACTTGCACAAATAACGTGTCTGTATTATGCTCTACCAGATTTCTCGACATACTCCCTGCCACCCTCAAACCTCTGCCTTGAGTGATGAATGTATGAACAGACAACTAAAATTGGCTATAATTGGATATAATAGAACATATTTTTCTCTGCAACTTGGAACTCTGTAAAGAGCCTATAAAAGAAAGTGGGCCTAGAAACAGTCATTTGGAGAGAATCGATTTTCACGAGCTTTGAATCATAACAAAGAATACTATTAATAACACGCCTAACTATCTATAATTTTCATCAAATACTTTCTCACAAAATATTCTCTTAAATCTTACTGTTGAGCTTAGATTTAGTAAGACTTTTTAAATTGTTTTGTATCTAGAAAGTAGATCTTTGCAAAAGTAAATAGAATGTTTTTTTCATTCAATAAGCATCCCAAATTTTCATTTACCCACATCTTATCAAATATTTAAGAATTATCCTAGTAGAAGTTATCAACTGGTATAACATGTCATAATGAAGAATTTCAGGAGAAATTTCCCTTCAGTTATTTTTGGCGATTGGATGCAAAACTGTACTGTAGTTACATTTCTAGGACCCACTCACCTGTCAAACAGCTCTCCTCCTGTGACGAGTTCTAAGACCAGACTGATTTCTGTAGGGGTTTCAAATATCTCTTTAAGTTTTATCTGGGAAAAGATATAAAAAAATCACAAATTCTTTATTTTCATCTTTAGGAAATCATTAAAACTATGGTTACAACAGCACTGTCTGTGATAGCAACACGTTGGATTATGGTTAATAAAGGTTCCTTATTCCAGTAGCAGGCAGTCATTTGTCACTCTCCAGTTGTTTCTTTATCAGTCACCTCATTTGTTCAAAGATCCTTTTGAACTTTTATATTTTTCCTTTTGATAGCTAAAGATATCTGCCCTAGAAGCACTTCCTAAATTTTGCCAAATCATCCAAATGTTTGAATTTCAACCGAATTTAAAAAAAACAAACCAGAAGCAAACAAAACCTCCTAAACCATGTGAAACCATCATGACTGGTAGAGATGCAAATGGTTCTTTCTCCCAGAACAGGACTTCAATTAGGGGTCTGAGACAGAACAGCCCAGGTTAAATTCTATCAGCATAGAAAGGGAATCCCTTAACAGATAAAGAGTTGCTAGTAGATAAGAGAATACTCAGAACAGTAACAGATATAGTGATTTGACTGATCATAACAGGGTTTTCATGATATTCAGATAATCCACCCAATTCTGGATATTTTCTTCTGAGAATCAAGTGACCGGGACCGATACATATATTTAAGGGAAATTTCATATTGGCTTCATTTTGAAAGAAATAAGATAGTGTAAGAATGATGGCTGTATGTGGCAGATTTTGCTAATTGCTTACCCAAAGCCCTTCTCTCCCTGCTCTACTGCAAACAGAGCTCTTGTTTAGGGAAGCAAGGTACCTAGTCTCAAATTATGGATTATGGTTAGTCAGCCATTTATGATAACCCAGGTCCTTAATTTTCCAGTCTTCATGCAGTTTAGGGTGACTGTGTGACCAGCTGTGCAGTAAAATCTGAAGAGAGTTCTGCAACTGGAAATTCTGGAAAAGCGTTCACTCTTTTTATCAGACTCTGCTGGTTAAACCTTTCCGCTCCCTTCTGTCTTGAACACAGACGTGGAGACTTAGACCAGCCCTATCAGGGCCACGAGGGAGAAGCGTGGAGGCGAAAGCCGCGCCCTGAAGACGGGAGAGCGGGAGCCCCTAGTGGCACAGTGGCTGAGGGGCCTCCCTGGCGGCTCAGCGGGTAAAGAACCCATCTGCAATGCAGGAGACCCCGGTTTGATTCCTGGGTCGGGAAGATGCTCTGCAGAAGAGATAGGCTACCCACTCCAGTATTCTTGGGGTTCCCTGGCGGTTCAGTTGGTAAGAATCCACCTGCAGTGAGGAAGACCTGGGTTCGATCCCTGGGTTGGAAAGATCCCCTGGAGGAGGGCATGGCAACCCACTCCAGGATTCCTGCCTGGAGAGTCCCCGTGGACAGAGGAGGCTCGGGGGCTGCAGTCCACGGGCTCACAAAGAGTCGGACACGCCTGAGCGACTAAGGACACACAGCACAGTGGTTGAGACTCCATGCTCCCAATGCAGGGGGCTCGAAAGGGACACAAGATGGGAGAGCCAACGGAAGAGTCTTGGATGACATCACTGAGGAGCTGAACTACTGCTAACAACGGCCTACCTTCTCATTTCTTGTAAGAAAAACATTTGTCTAGACCACCATATTCAAGTTTTCTGATATTTACAACTGAACTGCTAGCTAATAAACAACTTGTAAGCACTTGGCCTTGAGCCGAAGCATGCTGGTCATCCTCTGAGACACCACGAATTTCTCAGTGAGATGAGCAAAATATTTTAAGTGACTGTCTCACTTTATAAAAATAAGTCGTGGCCTGGAAAATGGTTTTGTTCTTTTCACTTCATTGGCTCAAGTAAGCTTCCCCCAGCCCTCTCCCTCAGTGCCTTTATCTGGACATAGCCAAGAGCAGAGCTTCCGAGCACATTTTATTTTCTCCATTCAAGCACATTATTTATTTGAATCTTTGCATTGTTTCTGAAGCAAATACTCTCTCACAGGAGACTCAAATGACTTTGGAAAGCAATGCATTTTCTTCACAGGCATTTTCAGCAATGGCATATTAATAAGATAGGCACACAAAAGGAAAAAGCCTGTGTTTTATTAGAGTGAAAAAAAGCTCTCCAATTTTAGTTATCCTCATGCATGAAAATAGCAATGTCATATATTGCGGGTGTGCCCATTTTGAAACTCTTTCAAGGGGTATTATTCTTAAGATTTATTCAGTTAAAGAACTGAAAAACAAGATCAGATAAGGACAAGAATTAGGCCAAGGTGGCTACTTACTGGCAGTGAAAGAATCTTCTTCTTATCATCAGAATGGACAGTAAAGAACAAAAGTCTCATTCTGCAACTTTGCAGATTATTTGAAATAGTAGGCTAAAAACCACTTACAATGTTTGGATGTGAGAGGCGAAGAAGAACTCCTATCTCAGTTCTTACGATTTTTTTGTCCACCTAAAAGGCAAAATGAGAGAAACTGAAGGATACTCCCACCTTAGAAATGTCTTCATTGTAGCAGAGAGTCAGAAACAGCAATAACCACTGGATGAATCAGGTCAATGGCACAGGTGGATTTCTAAGCTTCTTTCTTGCGTTACCTCCCTCCCTCCTGCCCAGCTGCATCTTTCCCCTCGGCTTCAGCCATGAAGGGGACTAGCTGCAAACATGGGTCACAGCCCATCAGACCCTTTACGTGGCTCCTCCGCTGTCAAGGCCTCCCTGTCACGCTCAGGCACAAGTTCGTCTCAGCCTACTCCTCCTCCTTCTCTGCCTCTCTTTTATCTAAACGCACTGGAGCTGTCAGCCACTTTACTTGCCTGTTTCCCACAGAAGTGAGCGTATCACCCGCCTGACCCGTCAGAGAGACTCGCGCTCCAGCCAAAGTGACTGAGTCAGAGAATCAACAGATCCAAGTCATCAGAACCAGGCCTCCCCCAACATTTTACTCAAATAATCAACAAAGCATTCTCTTTTCCTCTGAAACTGGGAGAGAAAAAGAGGATGGAGTCGGCCACCACCAGGGACTGTCACTGATGCCGTTTGGAGACCACGTCCCTGAAAACGGAGCCGACGCTGCTGGAGAGGAAGAGTGAGCACCGCTGACTGTGACCCACTGGGTTCAGCCCCTCACAAGCGAGGCTGCCCTCTGAGCTTTCCTACTGTGTGAGCTACCAAATCCCCTCTTCCACTGACACTATCTGGAGCTGCCTGATGCCACCAGTGATGTAAGCTGAAGCAAAGTAAAGCGGTCTAAGGAAATAGTGATTCTAGTTGATATGGAAGCCTGGAGTACAGATTTGGATAAGGCAGTTCCTCAGACCTATGTTTTCTGGGATGGAAGAGGGCATACAGCTTTCATCACATTCTCCAAATATCTCAGCAGAGGAAAGCTTACAAATCTGAGCCATTTGACAAAAAGAAAACATGTCCCTTGGAACCAGGGGAGCCAAGGATCTCTCGTGAATGTATATGTAATAAATGCATACCACATAGTAAGGGTTTAATACAGTTTTGTATGTGCTCAGGCTCATATTAAACAATGCCAGGCATATGAAAAAACAAATAAAAGTGATTTTTTCAGAGGAAGATTATAATCTAATTTTGGGCATAAAACTCCTCTATAAAATGCCATAAGAAGAAGAACGTAAGCTGTAAACAAGTTTTGTTTTAAAAATTTCATTGTTCAGTGGAGGATCATTTTTCTATGAGTCAAAACATTGCTATCACTCAAACAGTGGGCTAACTCTAAAAGGCTCTGAAGTTATTAGCCATTAAAAGTCACACTATTGTTAAAATAAAGTGAAGAAAGACTTGCTCGAGTGTGCACGGGCGATGCTAGTGTGATGTGTGGGCTGCTGGTGGCCACTCAGTGACATCCGGGAGCCTGACCCATGGCATGTAGACAGCACGGTTTGGGGGCGATGTGGTGTTAGAGGAAAACGCTATACAAGTTCACAAACCAAGTGAAAAAAATCACGTATTTCATGAAAATTTGCTATTGAACAAAAGACATTCTACTTGCATCAGATGGGAGATCTCTGACAGAGAGAGGCATTGCTAAAGCAGGCAGACACTGACAGATTTCTTCCGAAGAGCTCTTGGCTCACACTCCATTTCAGCTCTGCAGATGCTATTGAGGAAAATCTCCATATACATAATAATTTTTTAATTATTTTAAAAATGTAACACTTTTTCTATCTTTTCTAAGGCATAAATGACATATAAAAACCCACACATAATCAATGTATACAATGTGGTGAGTCTGGACACAAGTTCCCATCACCATAATCAAGGTAATAAATATATCCGTCACCTCCAAAAGTTTCCCGTGTCCCTTTGTTGTGTGTGTGTGGGGGGGGTGGGTTAGGAACACTTAATGTGAAATCTACCCTCTTAACAAATGTTTAAGCAAACAATATCTTACTGTTAACTATAGGCAATGTGTTGTACAGTAGCTCTCTGGACCTTACCGACCTTGTATAACTTGATACCCACTGAACAACAACTCTCCATCCCCTCCTCACCCATCCTTCAGGAAGCACAAGTCTACTCTCTACTTCTATGAGTCTGACTATCTTAGATGTCTCATGTAAGAAGGATTCATCCAGTGAATATGGATTTTTTTTAATCACAATCTTCTCCAAAGGACAACTTGAATTTCCTCACTAATACAAATATATATATATATATTTTTTCAATATTGTGTGATGTTTAAAAAAATTTCAGAATGAGTGTATCTAAGATTTGTTAACAGTCTTAAAAAAATTTCAGAATGAGTGTATCTAAGATTTGTTAACAGTCGAACCTATGTTTCTTATTACACATTTAATGTTCATGTAATACAAGGTTTTCTTCCTTGTTTTCATAATTTTGATCCATTTAAAATAAGTATCAGAGATATCCTTTAACTTTTTTCACGTTATAGTAAAATCTTTTATTACCAATATGAATTTTAAGCAAATCTATTTATTTTAATTAATTTATTTTAAATGGAGACTAATTACTTTACAATACTGTGGTGGTTTTATCATGTTATATCAATACATTAAATATAGGGATGCCTTCAAAAATTAGTTCTTTGAAAATTATCTAAACTCTGGAAATATTCATAACAGATTAGATTATTTGGAATAACACTCCTCTAATGTAGTTGTTTGTTTTTAATTTAGAATTAATTTTCTTTAAAGTTAATTTTGCAAAGGGTAATTATTTTCCCACTATACTTAAGATTAGTAGCTCTCAAAGTATGACTGGAGGACCCTTCTGGGTCCCTAAGAGTCTTTTCAGGGTATATGAAAGACTCACCCTTTTCCAACTATGCATCTGGGTGAGGCTAGATTTTTTTTTTTCTATACTTGAAACAAAACAAATTGAATGCAGAAGCAGTTGAGAATTAAACTGTCTTCTATTGAGCCAGATAATTAAGAGATTTACAAAATAATGACACTCTTCTAAGTATTTTTATCTTTTGAAAAATAAACTTATTTTTCACTGTAAATATTATTTATGTTCAAATATACTAGAATTGGATTTATTACTACTATAGCTTTAGTTAATTAACACTCAACATTCTTGAATCTCTTTCTATAGAGACTCTTTAGTCTAATACAGTAAATGTGTATGTGTGTGCTGTGCTGTCGTGTCTGACTCTTTTGTGGCCCCCTGGACTGTAGCCCACCAGGCTCCTCCGTCCACGGGATTCTCCAGGCAAGAGTACTGGAGTGGGTTGTCCTTTCCTCCTCCAGGGGGTCCCCTGACCCAGGGATCGAACCCGCATCTCCTGAGTCTTCTGCACTGCAGGTGGATTCTTTACCATTGAGTCAGTAAATGTGTAGCTATTTGGGATTCTCAGTGAGTTACAGAGTAGACGGGGCTCCTATAGCCCACAAGCATGAGAACCGCTACTCCAGAAACCTTAACATTACACATCTGAAAGCAGAAACTAGAAAAAAACAGAATTGCAATGATAATTGAAATGAAAGAAAAATGTGAATGCCGTCTCCTCCCTGTTCGCCTGAATGCTGAAGCCCAGACTGAACGCGGGTCATGACTCAAGTGGGCCAGGAAGGATCTTAGAAAGAAGAAACTAGAGAAAACTGGGGTTTTTAAAGTCATCAATCCACAGAGAGCAAACTGCGTGGCAAAACCTGGACTAGCAGCCAAGGCAGTGGCGCCTGAGGAACCCAGCAGGAGTGAGGCTGAAGGGGAGGAGCCGACAGAGGAGGCCGACGGCTGAGAGGCCAAGGACAGAGCAAGTCTGAGCTCGGAACCTCTTTGCCACAGAGGTCAGCTGGGAGTCACTTGTCACCTTTTCCAAACAAAGTCTAGAGGTCCCTAGACAGCCGGACTGCGGGGTGGTTCCCCCAAAGGTGTCGCGGCTCGGAGGTCACCGGGGTGCGGCCTGCCAGCCACCTCGCCTGACCCCTCCCCAGTGTTTCTCCTGCTCCAGATGGTATCGCTGCCTTCCCGTTTCCGACTTTCCCTTCCAACACCTGGGCAGGGCCTTCCCTGGTGCCAGCGCAGGGGGAACGGGCTCATCCCATGCCCCACGTGCGGGGGGCAGCGGAGCCCAGCCGCCCAGAGCCCGGGGTCTGCAACCAGAGCGGCCCCCGAGGTGAGCGGCCCGCACACCAGAGCCAGGGGGAGCGCCCACTCGCACGGCAGCCGGCAGTGCGGACACTGCGCTCAGCAGTAGACAGCGGCTTTTAAAATACCCGGGCGGGCGAGCAGCGGGTCTGAGCGCGGGCACGGCCATTCAGGGTGCGTGCTACTTTTCCAGGAACGAAACTGTCAAGCAAGCCACAAAAGTGGGCAGCGACAGGAACAGGCATTACAGCCGCTTGGAATTAGCTTCGAGGGCTGCTATAATTTGCATCTTTCAGAAGCGCCCACAGATGGCGCTAACAAATCAGCAACAACGCTGCTGTACAGGTGTTTTGACCAATCATGGTCACTCTTGAGTTTTTCATCTGAAAACCCATAAAACATACCTTCACTATGTACAAAATAACTTGGAGAACGATGGTTTTTAATTGCTAACAATTTTCAATGATAAAATACACATTACACATATACACACAAAATTAAATACACAAGAAAATTCTAACTTTAGCTTCCCAGAGAACAAACATAAGGTGAGGATTAACGTTCAGGTCTTTATTTGGAATGAGCACCCCCAATGCAGCGAGAGTGAGGAGAAAGGGAAGGGCGGCGAGGTACGTCAGCCACGGCTGCACTGAGCCGTAAGAACGCAGCAGGTCACGGGGCAGCCGCACCCAGCTGGCACACGGTCCCTCCCCGGAGGACCCACACACGATCGCCACGCCTTCCAGTTCAGGGGACGGTGGGGAGAGAGGGGATTTACTGCCCAGGAACTTCCTCCTCTTTCCCACTGGCCAATTTTGGCCCCAAGGTGTTGAATTTGTATACCCCTGGGTTCCATGTGTAGTCTCGGA